TGTGTGTGTGTGTGTGTGGCCAGCTCAGCCCACCAGGGGGCAGGGCTGGCTGGCATGTGGTGCTGGGGGATCGAACCGCGGTCCCTGTGCTTTGCCAAGCCTGTTCCAAGTAGGTGCTTTAGACCACTGAGCCATCTCGCCAGCCCCGGTGATTTGTTCTTGGCAGAGGCAGAGTTTGTACTGAATGGTCTTGTCTTTTTTTTTTTTTTTTTTTTTTTTGCGGAACCGGGGATTGAACTCAGGCCCTTGCGCTTGCCAGGGAAGCACTTATTGTTCTTGTCTTTTTTAGGAGACAAAAGAAAAACAGGTTCGGGACAAGAGAAGAAAAACACTTGTCATAATTGAGAAAGTAAGTTTTAGAATTTGTTACTAGAGTTTAGATAAGAAATGTGTGTGGGTGGGAGGTGTATAGCTCAGTGGTGCAGTGCCTGCCTGGCAAGCGTGAGGCTCTGAGTTTGATTCCTGGTACCAAAGGAAAAAACAAACGTGTGTGTCCCCAGAAATGAAGAGCAGGCGGTAAGGCAGTGTTGTTTGGTTTCAGTTAAGAACAGCTTCTTGTCACAAGCCTGTCCCTTTCCAGGAGGGCTGGTGCTCTAGCTTAACTGTGGTGGGGGTCCTGTTCCGATGCATTCAGTTAATAGCTGACTGTCTTTAGAAGGTCAGCGCTCTAAGCCTGATAAAATGGAAACAAAAGTTACATTGTTTTGCATATTGATTACTTAAGTGAGCTCACGGGTATGTATTAGACACTCCTGTCACAGAGGAAACTAATACACATGCATGTGCGCACACACGTTTTGCAGTTGGGTTAGCTTTGGGGGTGGAGTGTTTTGGGTTTGGCCTATTCGAGACAGGATCCCACTGCAGTTTAGGCTGCCTTGAACTCACTGTGTAGCCCCGCCTAGCCTGAGACTTGCCACACTCCTCCTGCCTCAGCCTCCCGAGTTCTGGGATTCCCCCACCATGTTTAGTGTAGTAGTTGCTTTGTAAAATATAAATGCCGCATTGAAAAACCGTGGAACCTGGTAGATTAGAACACATTCTCCAGAGTACGGATCCAATCTTTCCTATTTCTGAGTGAATCCGAGACTTGGGTGAGTGGCTGTTTTGCCTTCTTGCTTGCTTGTGTGACACAAGGATGGAACTGAGGACCTTCACCCTGAGCCCATTCTTTCTTGGCTGAGGTGCCTAGGCTGGTCTTAAACTTGGGTTCCTCTAGCCTCAGCCCACCGTACCCTCACGAATGCATGCTTACCTCGAGGGGCCGGGGACTGGTCCTGTGCTGTCCTCAGCTTCTCCCTTTATAATAAAGTGGAGGTGCTGGTGATGTTTTTCTCCTGGAGGGGCAGTGCCTGCCTAGCGAGTCCTCCAGGAACGTGAGCTCCTCTGGTGTTGAGAGGCCCAAGCTGCCCTTGTGGCGGTGCTGCAGTGTTGCCAGTGTGGCATTGCGTTGCTGTGGGAAGATTTTTTTTTTTTTTTTTTCCTAGAACCAGGGATTGAACTCAGGCCCTTGTGCTTGCCAAGGAAGCGCTTATTCTACTGAGCCATCTCCCCAGCCCCTTGTGGGAGGATTTAGAAAGTCTTTATTTCACTTGTTTTCAGCTGCGAGGTTGGGTCAGGGAGGGACAAAGAATGGTGCCTGAAAAATTGTAAGTTGCTTTGTGTTTTTCTGCATTTACTTCTGCTTCTTTTTTTTTTTTTTTTTTTTTTGATGGTACCAGAGATTGAACTCAGACCCTTGTGCTTGCCAGGCAAGTGCTTATTTTACTGAGCTATCTCCCCAGCCCCTTTTCTGCATTTAAAGAGCAGGTTTTTTTGCAGTTCAAGTTTGCTGTGGGTTTTCATTCTTGAGTTTGAGGCAATTAATCCTCCACCTCAAGGTCGTCGCTGGTACCTGTGAGCCCTGCCTGGCTGCTGTGGCCTGCTTCACCTTCCTCTCATCTCTCTTAGACTTATAGTTTACTCCTGGATGTGGAAGATTATGAAAGGCGCTATCTCCTGAGTCTCGAAGAGGAGCGGCCTGCCCTGGTGGATGAAAGAAAGCACAAAATTTGTGGCATGTACGACAACTTGCGGGGCAAACTGCCTGGCCAGGATAGGTGAGCGGTGCCCGTGAGCAGCGCGTACGTGAGCACACACATGCGCTCAGCTTCACCGACTTCCTCTGCCAAGCTGAGCTCACTCTTCCTGCCATTCCTCGGGTGAAAAAACCGTTCATCCTGAACTTCCCAGCAAATAGTGTCTACTAGGGATGGTACAGATACTGGACTTCGGGCAGGGAGCCATCAGATTTGCTTGGGGGCTCTTGGAGTCTGGCTTATGATTACTAGTACATGTCAGTGTTCAACCTTATAGTCCTTTTATGTTGTTTGAGACGGTCTAGCTTTGTACTTTAGCCTTGCACTTTTGGTGATCCTGCCTCAGCCTCCCAGGTGCTGAGATTACAAGCTGTGCCATCAGGCCTGGCCCTCAACCTTATAATTTTTGGGGCTGGGGAGATAGCTCAGGGGCGTAAGTGCTTTCCTGGCAAGTGCAAGGTCCCGAGTTGGATCCCTGATACCACAAAAGAAACTAAACAGAAAGCTTTATAATCTTTATATTTATACTTGCCTCCTAAGATGGGGACTGTCAACATTTCGGTGTCCTTGGGATTCCATGGAATATGGGTGCCGTGGAAGCAGCCCAAGCTCTGCTGAGGGCCACGCCCTTAACTACTTGCTTGTCTCTCTCACCTGTTATTTGGAGCAGAGTCCTGCTGATGGCAAATGTTGTGTGAATCCCGGATATGCCACGAATGCGGGAGGACTGCGTTGCCTGAGGGGTTCTTTTCCCTTTGTCTTGTCACGAAAACTGTTGATTGTGCAAAGCCAGCACATGGAACACAGACATAACCACCAGCACTTTCCTTCCCATACACGCCCTGTAGGATAGGCCCGTGGGGAAGAGATGTCTCTCTGCAGGCTGACCCTGGGTGTGGCCTTCCAGACACATGCAGTGCACATTTATTGACACAAAAAAGTCTTTAAGTAAAATAACACCAAGTTGCAAAGCTGTAATAACTTTGTGATAGAAAAATATGAGGGGCCAGGGAGATAGCTCAGTAGAATAAGCTCTTGCAAGAAAAGAAAAAAGAATATGTCTTCAAATTGCTAACACTTTAAAATTTTAAAATTAAGTCAGATTATGAATGACTTCTTGTTGTGCTTTTATGTTTTTAGATATTAACCATGGATTGCTTTTGTAGATCACTTAAAAGTTAATCATGGAAATTATGCACATACTTGGGTTAAGTGTGGTTAGTGTGTGATTTGTGAAATGGTGGTTATCAACATTTGGAAAGCTCAGGCCTGACCTTACACTGCGTGGCTCGCGTTGGAGAAGTCATTGTCATGCCTGCAGCGCAGGCTGTGCTGTGTGAAGAGGAGCGTGGCGCAGGGCGAGGATGAGGACAAGGACGCGGGCTCCCTGGCAGTTGTTGACCAGAGTGTTTTGTTCCCCTGCAGGCCCAGTGACGACCACTTCGTCCAGATCATGTGCATCCGAAAAGGGAAGAGAATGGTTGCCCGCATCCTCCCTTTCCTCTCCACAGAGCAGGCTGCCGACATCCTCATGACCACCGCGAGGAACCTCCCTTTCCTTATTAAGAAGGATGCCCAGGATGAGGTGATCACTGGGGGTATCTCTCCTCGTAGGTTTCTCAAGTCTCCTCCCCTTTGCCTTGTCTTATCCAAACTCTGGCCATAGGAAGCGACCAAAACAAAGCTCCCAGCGCTGTATTTGGTCTTGTTTCTGGTGGAACAGACTATGTCCCTAAACATAAGGATGTGAACAGTTCCACTGTGGCTTGGCACAGCTATGGAGGTGTAAGCCACAAGAATCGCTTGGAAAGTAAAGATCGCTTGACCCTCCTGCACATGCTGAATCAGAGTAGAGCAGATAAGTTGGGCTCTTGTATTTCTAGCAAGCTCTGCAGCTGAATCAGACACTGTCTCAGTGCCTTTGTGGACACAGCACCGCTCCATGGGCCTGTGTCAGCATTAGCCAGCCTGTGGCCTGCGTTGGTGGGCCTCCCCAAGAGTCAAGCCAGTTTGAATAATGTTACGACTTCAACCATGTGGCACTGGAAATGACGCCTGTCATCCAGCTTGTGAATTTCTCCTGGCTTAGAATTTTCTCTTCGAATCCCCAGCCAACCTCTTGAGACAGTAGCAAATTTTCCAATAATTTTAGAAAGTTCAGAGCCAGGAATATAGCTCAGAGAATTTTAGAAAGTTCAGAACAAGAAATTGATAAAGGTAGGGGAGAGGACAAATACTGAGAGATGGAGAAAAAAATGTATGAGTGAATCTGTTATTGTCCACTACAAGTTGAATGTTAACTACCTGGGTAATTCATCCAGAGAAAACCAAGACGCCAGGATTCCTAGTAAGTGGTATGCCATGGAAGAGTTGGAAATAATTCCTTTTGCAGACCCTTGAAATTTTAGCATATAGAAAAATAATTTTTAAAAAAGAATTCCAATTAGGCCAGGCATGATGGCACAAGCTGGTAATCCCAGCACTCAGGAGGCTGAGGCGGGAGGATCACCATCATTCAAGACCTGCCTGGGCTACAAAGTGAACTCAAGGTCAGTCTGAACTGCATAGCAAGACCCTGTGTCAGAAGAAAGAAAAATAAGTTTAGCCCTCATCATTGGAAAATGTGAAGTGGGGTGAGATGTTTAAAAGATTCCAAGAATGAAAAATGGGCCGAAGAAAAATTTAACAAGTTGAGGTTTATTCTAGAAAATAGAAGACAAAATTGAAAAGTTACAGCAGTTCTGGCGCAGATGTGGATTGATGACAGCTCTGAGTACCAGGCTCTAGTTTTAGACAAAACTAGTGTCTTTTGCTAGGTATCTAAGGCTGGGAACAAGAAGTGCCTGCCTTTCCTGAGCTGGTCCCTGGTGAGCGAACAGGGTTAAATGCACAGGCTGACGTTTTTAGCCTTTGTGCGCTAAAGAAAGTAGAATATGCCTCTGAACACCTTTTTCTGGAAATTCCAGCTGTCACTCAGTCTGAGCCTGAAAGGTACAGAATAATGCTGGAGTATCTCATATCAAAAGCAAGAAAAGAGCTGGGGAGCTAGTTCAGAGGGTTAAGTGCCTGCCTGGCAAGGAGGAGATCCTGTGTTAAGTCACAGTACAAAAGAAAAAGTAGCGGGGTATGGCGCATACCTATAATCCCAGCATGCCCTTGAGAGACTGAGAATCATTTAGAATTTCAAGCCAGCTTGGGCTCAAGGTGAGAACCTGTCTCAAAAAACAGATGGGAGAGGTCAGGAGACAGCGCGGTTGATTAAGTACTTGCAGGTCCAGAGTTCAATCCCCAGTACTAGGGAAGCAATCAAGTAAAGTAATAGATGACTAAGAACCTGAGAATGCACGAACAAGAGTTGTTTAATCCGACCAGGCTCCCGTTAACCAAAAATGAGATAATTTGCATCAAGAAGTTATAATAGTAGACTAAAGTAGGTGACTGTTTTTTTTGAGACATGGTCTTCCTCTGTAACCCAGGCTGGCCTTGAACTCAAGGTGATCCTCCTGCCTCAGCCTCCAGAGTGCTGAGTTTATACGTGTGCCACCACACCTGATTCAGTGTATTCATTTATGAATTCATAATCTCAAAAATACTGATCACTGGTAAGATTGCTAAACCGTCCACTCATTCTGAAAAGCGGAAGATAAAAAGTCAAGCATTCATCCTGCCTTTCTGTTACAAGCATATGTCATGGTAACCAGCAGTTGGTAATATGAACTTCTTGATAGAATTTCAATTAATAAGTGAAAACAGCTAATAAGAATAGAAAAAAAAATAAAAATAGGAACTGTTCCGTAAGCCTTAGTGGAACAGCAGTTGAGACCCAGCCCCATCAGTCCTGTGCTGCGCCGCAGTTGCAGGAGAGGAGAGCCCGCAGCAGAGCGCTGTCAGCTGGGCCCAGGCCCAGCGGCCCCCATTCTGTTGAAGGAAGCAGCACAAGAAGAGGATGCACCAGGGGCTAAAGACTTCTTAGGGTTTGGGGTGTTCTTTAGTTTTTTGTTTTGTGTGTGTTAGGCCCAGGGTCTCACTCAGCAGCTGGGCCTCGCAGGGATCCTATCTCAGCCTGCCCAGGCCCGGGATTACCGTCGTGCGCCTCCACGCCCTGCTTAGGGCTTTGAAAGTGTGATCAGCAAATGGATAGAGTGAATATGGTTTGATGCTGGAGAAGAGATATCTGCTAAAAGATGTGTTTGCCTCAGAGAAATTGGGATTTGGAGCAGATCCTAGTGAGCGTTAGAAGTGGCTGGTGGGTTTCTTCGATGTGCTGTGTGAGCAGCTTTGTTAGCAGTAGACTGAGGATGCGCTCGGGAGCTTCACATAGATCTGACACATAGATCTGCTGTGTGGACTCGCGCCCAAGCGTGTGCGCCCTCCAGCCAGGTGCCCGTGGGCAGAGGGAAGGTAGGAGCAGCCGCGGTGACGCTCTGTTTGCTTCTCTAGGTCCTGCCGTGCTTACTGAGCCCCTTCTCTGTCCTCCTCTATCACCTGCCATCAGTGACTGTCACGAGCCTCCTGCAGCAGCTAATGAACCTACCTCAGAGTGCAGCCGCACCCGCGCCCTGCAGTGCTCACCTCGCCGCTGTGCTCCAGAACAAGGTGCCCCACTCTGCCCTGCCCCCAAGCTGGGGAGGGCCCAGGTCATAGGAAGCGCAAGCAGTCAGGAGTTAGGCGTAGCTCCTGTGACCCAGCATGGCAGGCTCCTGCATGTCTCATGTGGAACAGATGGCTCACGCTGGTGTCGCACTCGGGGCTGAGCCCCTCTCCGACCCCGTCAGTGCAGTCGTGTGTGTTGTCGTCATCTCCCCCCATCGTTAGGGCCAGAGGCAGCTGTGAGGGTTGAAGCCTTGGGATTGGTTAGGACGAGGGGAAGTGAGGAGGGTGCGGCGTGGCCAGCTGTGCTTCCAGGGGCCTTTGCAGGGAGAGCAGGTACTCATGGGAGCACCCGCAGCGCCGGCAGCTCCACACTGGCTTCAGTCCTGCGGCGCTGTCACCACTGGTGGAGTCAGTTCTGGCTGCAGAGCAGGGCTGATGTGGGAGACTGGTTAATGATCCCAAGAGCCCCAGAGGAAATGCAGTCTAGAGGAGAGAGCTGGAGTGTGGCAGGCCAGGCCTCAGCCCTGTCCTCCTCCTCTGGCATCGGGCTCCTGGGTAGATTGTCTCGCTTTGTCTTACTTTGCTAGGCCAGGCGCGTGCACAGTAATGAGGCGCTCACAAGGGCCATGCTGTGTATGATGGGGGGAAAAAGTATCACCTCAGGGCTTCCTACCCTTGGCACTGGAAACCCCAAAGTGCCACATCTGGAACAGACAGGGTTGTGGAGCATCAGGGGTATGGCACCCTCTTTTGGTCCCTTCCTTCTGGTGTTGGCAAAGGCAGCAGAAAACCACAAGATCAGGGCTGGCCAGGTAGCTCTGCAGTCTAAAGTGCCTGCTTGGAGGGAGGGGGGCGCTGAGACAGCAGCTGAGACTGGCGTGGTCTCGTGCCTGTAATCCCAGTGCTTGGGAGGCTGAGAACAGAATCACTATGAGTCCAATCTATGCAGTGAGACCCTGTAGACTTTGCAGACCCTGTCCTAAATACATAAAGCAAAAGCACACCACAAGATCAGACAGGGTTACACTGCTCGGTGCTTTTCTAAATCTGCATGCAATGGATGAGCGTGAGTGTGTCATGCGTGCACTCATCCGTCAGGAAGCCCCCGCCTGCTGCCTCTCACGGGGCTCCTCCCCATGCCCCTGGGGGTCTTTCCTTTGTTGGACCCTGCCATCTCCAAACAGTCTCTCCCCGTTTCCTGTCTTCTACTTGGCTGTTTATAGTTAGGGTTTCTCCTGTGAGAGAAGCGGCCCGGTATCTAACCTGTGTGAGGTCCTTTAGCACTGTGCTGTTGAGGTCCGTCCACTCCCGTCGTCCGCCGCGTGTGGAGCGTAGGAGTGCCACAGCGATCCCGTCCCCTGAGGATAGCACGTAGGCCACGGCCTTGACGTAGTCCTCGAGAATCGCGCACACGAGTGTCGCGGTAGTGTGAGCCCTTGAACTCCGTCAGGGTGGTGCCCAGGGCGCTGGGGCCGTGGGACCTCTGGTGTTAGTCTTGTTTGTTTCTTGAGGAGTAAGGTGGAATCGCAGAGCTGCTCTGGTTTGCGTGTCGCTGGCCAGTGAGGTGGAATGCCTTTTCAGGTGTTTATTGGCCGGTTGTCGTGAGAAGGGTCTGCTCACCTGAGTTGCCCCGTTTTTGATTGGCACTTACATTTGGGGAGCTCTGAGTACTGAGGTCCTTCGATGTTGTGTGCATTGGCCCGTGTCCAGGGGTAGCTGGCAGCACTCCTTCCTGCTGACAACTGTCGGTTGGCGTGTCCTGCGCTGCGCTGCGCTGCGCCGCTTTTGGCTTGGCGCGGTCCTGTTGCAGATGCCGCGTGTTCTTATACTGGACAGTGGGAGCTCCCTGGGGAGGCCAGGCGCACGCCCCTGGCTTCAAGAGTTTTACCTCTTTTATCTTCCAAAAGATGCGGTGTTTTGTTTGGATGTTTTGTTTTTGTTCTTTTTGTGGTATTGGGGATCGAACGTGGGACTTTGCACTTGCCAGGCAGGCGCTTATGCTGTTGAGCTGTCTCCCCCGCTCAGATTCAGTGTTTTTATATTTAGGTCTTTGATCTGTTTTTATTTTATTTTAGTAGGAAGTAAGAGATTGGGTTTGATTCCTTCTTCTGCATGTGGAGGCCAGTTTTCCCAGCACCATTTGTTAAAGAGGCTGTCTTTTGGGCTAGGGAGATAGCTCAGTGGCCCAGTGTGTGTGCCTGGCAAACGCAAGGTTCTGAGTTCAATCCCCAATACCAAAAAAAAAAAAAATTTTAGGATTGCTTTTTCTTTTTTTTTCAATATTTTTGGCACAATGTTAATGTTTTTATTTATTTTTAATGTTCTTACAATTTAGTAAGTAGTTTTCTTGATGAATGTAGTCATAATAGTGGTTCAGAGTATTCCAGTTAGGGTTTTGCAGATTGGTCTGCGGTCTTGAATGTGCGTAAGAAGTTGCTGTGTGAAACATCTGTCAAGCTATAGGACTGCTTTTTCCTTAAAGAGTGCTGTTGGCCTTTTCACGTGCATTGCAGCAAACGTGGGTGTCGGTTTGGTGGTGCGGCTGTTCTGACTGTTGGTCCCTGCCCACCCGAGGAAGGGGGATGTCCTTCCATTCTCTGATGTCATCTTCAGTCTTTTTTCTTCAGCATGCTATTCATTATAGAGATTTGTCACTTTGGGTAGATTAATTTCTCGGCATTTAGTTCTTGTGATGCTATTCTGAATGGATTTTTTCTTCCTCAGAAGATTCATCATTGGTTGTATAGCATCACTTAATTTTGTGATTTTTGTTCTTTGGCTTGTGTAATGTGTTGTTTATTGATTTATATATTTTAAGTCATCCTTGCATCCCTACAGTGAAGCCGGGCTGGTCAGAGTGAACAATATTTTTCATGATTTGCTGATTTCTGTCTGTCGTTTTTGCATGCATGTCCATTCAAGCAATTGCCCTGCAGTCCTGTTGTTAGCTCTTGTACAGTTTGGGTACCAGGGTGACGCTAGCTCCAGGAGTCCTGAACACCCCTTCCCTTTCAGCCCCGTGACAGAGTGCAGGGAGTACTGGTGCTGGGCCTCCCCCGCAGCCCTGGTGGACATTCCATCAGCCCAGGGCTTTACTTAGTTGGTAAGGTTTTTATTACTGCCTCTTTTTCATTGCTTATTTTATGATCTACTAAAGCTTTTATATTTTCCTGGCTCAATTTTGATTTCAAGTGCATCTAGGAATTTCCATTTCTTCTAGGTTCTCCAGGTTATTAGAATATAAATTTTCAAAATGGTTTCCTACAATCCTCAGAATTTTGTCAGCATCTGTTATAATTTGACTGTTTTCATTTCTGAGTGTGTTGATGTTGATTTTTCTTTCATGAAGGGAAGTTTTGTGGAACAGAAAGGTTATCCTCAGGAAGGTGAACTCAGAAAGGAGATTGGAATCCCAAGATATTGCCAGTTTCCTGTAGACTCGTGATTGCAGGCGTTTAACCTTGGCTTCTTGTGCCTGTTTACATTTTCATTCTGTGCCCCTTAAACAGCTGTTACTGCCCACAGAGAGAAACAAATCTTCATGGGGCTGGAGAGATGGCTCAGTGGTCTAAAGCACCTACTTGAAACAAGCTTGGCAAAGCACAGGGACCGCGGTTCGATCCCCAGCACCACATGCCAGCCAGCCCCGCCCCCTGGTGGGCTGAGCTGGCCACACAGACACACACACAATAAATGTAATAAATAAAAATAAATAAATATTTTTTAAAAAAAAAATCATGTATTTTAGGCTCTACTCATGCCACCGAATGGTTTGGGTTTGGTTTGGTTTGGTTTGCTCTATGTCTTTTTGAGATGGGTCTTGCAGTGCAGTTCAGGCTGGCCTTGGCCTGTAGCCCAGGCTGGTCTCTAACTCACAGTCGTCCCCTGCCTCAGCCTCCCAGGTGTTGGAATCGCAGGTGTGTGCCACCGCGCCTGGCTCATGCTGCTAAATTGTAATGGTTGTAGAGATGGTGTTTGGATCGTTTATCCTCCCTCCTTTTTCATTTCGTAGGCCCCTGTTCATCTCTTCTAAACCCCTACATCTCCATTTATCTTCCTTTAAAATTTCTTTTTAAAGAAATTTTCTCTTCACATCTTGATCTGATTTTCCCTTGGCCTTGATTTCTTATAGTTCTTAACATCTCTTCATGTTTGTCCTAAGTATCTCTCTCATTTAATGTTGTTTGCTGTGAACATTGTATTGACTTTCTGTCTTTATTTACTTCTGATAGCAAAAAAGCAAAGCCATCCTAATGTCCCTGGTGGGGAAGCGTCCCACCCACTGTTTCCTGGGCCGTGCTTGCTGCCTCTGTGCTGCAGAGGCCTGGGCTTGGGACCCGGCCCTGGGCCCCTGTCTAGTGGGCGGGGCACTGAGTGGCTCCCTCTGTGTCCACAGTTTGGCCTCTCACTGCTGCTCACGCTCCTGAGCCGGGGGGAAGACCTGCAGCGCCTGGAGCCCGCCACGGAGCCTGCACAGCGTGACCAGTGGTCAGTACCGCCATCCGCACCAGCTCGCCCTGTGCCACTGGCTCTCTCGTGCTTCTCACCATAGCTCTGCCTTCCTGCTAGGACGGAGGTGATGTTCATGGCCACCAGGGAGCTCCTGCGGATTCCCCAGGCGTCCCTGGCCAAGCCCGTCTCGATGCCCGCCAACCTGGTGTCCCTTTTTTCTCGCTACGTTGACCAGCAGAAACTGAACTTGCTAGAGACAAAGCTGCAGTGAGTGTGGGACAGGACCAGTGGCTCCCAGGTGGCGGGGTGGGTTGGGCTCCTGCGGGGTCCAGGGACTGTAACCAGAGCACGGTGGCCTGCGTTGGGGCGCTGCACAGCACAGACACAGCTCCTTTTGTGTCTCCGCCCTCAGGCTGGTCCAGGGGATCCGGTGAGAGCTCTGGCTGAGACCCTACCTCCTGCGGCTGCCGCCTGCACTACTGCCGCCTGCCCACCGAGGCAGGGAGAGGCACCTCCCAAGCAGACGCATAGGCTGGCTCCAGGCCTGGGCTTGCGGGCTCTGGGCAGTGTGGCCTTCGGGCGGCTTTTCCGCTGGTCTCTGTACCCTCTGTTTCCTTTCTGCATGTCCTCCCCTCACTTGGCTCTTCATGGTGTTGTGATTCTTTGCCCTAGAGCTACCCAGGAGACACCCCCTGTATCCACCACCTGCCCACCTCCCCATAGAGCACAGCCTTCTGAGGGAGTCCTTCCCTCACACCGCTGAAGACGCTGTCCTGTACTGAGCTAACTTCAGGAGAGCCAGTCGAGTAGACCTCAAGGCAGATTCGTGCACCCACGCCTGTGCGACATCTTGGTTTCAGCCCCTGGAAGGAGTTTTAGGTCGGAGAGTCCTCAGTGCCGCGTACCTCCGCTGAACACAGTGCCAGCAGCCTCGCTGTTCTCCTGGGGCTCCTCCTCGCAGCCCAGGTCCAGGGCACGCAGCACTTTGAATGAAATCCATACATGGCTGCTGCCCACTCTAGGCCAGAGGTCCTCCTCCTCCTCCTGCCCAGTGTCCCTTGTCTATCCCCCCTCAGCAGGAACAGCCACTTCTTTGGCTCCAGTACAGCAGTAGCAGCCTCATCCCCTCCCCAGCGTCCCCAGAACCCGCTCCACCCTGTCACCACTGTGTCTGTCACTCGTCCCCCTACACAGCAACAAGGATGGGGCTCAGATCCCTGCTGGCCCCAGCCTGGAGAAGCCGACTCCCAGATTCACCCTCACAGCCATCCCGACCTCAGTCCTGCTGCCCTTGCCTTTCGAATGTCGTGGGGTTGGGCTGGCTCCCGCAGGAGTGATTGTCCTCCCTCCGTGATACCAGCCAGCTGCCCTCCCAGCCCAGCTCCACCAGCATCCCAGCCGCCTCGTGCCCTGCGACAGCTACTGACTCCCGCCCTCGCGGCTCCCCCTCGCAGCCTATCAGGTGAACACTTGATCGGCGTTTTTTCCTGACTGTGCTTTATCTTGTTTGGTTCTGATTAATGAAAATAAAGGTTTCTAAATTTACATTTTTATAGGGTATTGTAAATAAAAACAAATTGTATAATGCAAGGAAGCGTTGCGTGTTTCTGTGCTCTGCTGGGTGTGCACTGGCTTTGCCTGTGTGCGGAGCGGGTGAAGCTCCAGCACCCTGATGCTGGAACCACAGGGCTACGGCTCCCCAGGCCTGCCTCATGTCTGCTGGGTTGCAGACACTTCTGTGAGTGCTCAAGGAAAAGGAATGGCCACCGCAGCTCAGCTCGGGGAAAGGCAGGAAGTTGCGGGGAGAGCTCTCTTGACACTGGGCGCTGTTTGCATAATGTGCATTGTTTTCCTGATGGTGACACAGCCTTTAAATAGCCGGCCTAAGGTGACAGGCAGCAGGCCACAGAAGGGGTGGCGCCACCTGGCTGCTGAAGGTTAAGAACGCACACTGATCCCAGCACTCAGGAAGCTGAGGCAGGAAGGTTGCAAATTTGAGCCCAGCCCTGGCAGCTTAGCAAGACCCCTGCTCTAAGAAGACTGGAGATACAGCTTATTGGGGTGTCCTTGGTTCAAAAAGGGGTACTTCTTGGTGTGTGGGCTGTGCTTCACGTGATGCAGGCTGGCTTCAGAGTCATGCAGTCTTTGCCAGCTCTTGTTCTGGGTGCTTTAAAATCATTTCTTGAGGACTTGATAACAAAGGGCAGTAGTTCCCTGCTAAATGTGAGTCCAAAGCAGTCACATTGGGTGTTGGCTAAAGTAGTTCACAGCAGTTGGCATGGCCGGGAGCTGGCCGGCTGTGCAGTCTGCACACGGAAGAGGTAGCAGACCTTGCTAAGTGACGAGGACAGTAAGCCTCGCAGGCGATAGTAGGAGGAAGAGTGGGTAACTTTGCAAATGGAAGTAAGCGAAGACAGGTCCACGCCTACCTCATCAGAGGGGCTTCAGTCCATGAATTTAGTGAAAAGCAGTGCCAGTAAGGATTCGGGGCTGCCACTCGCCAGTGAGAATAACCTGTTTCTCTGTGAAAAGTTCTCTGTTGATGTGAAGAACTTCCTGTGGCCTTTGCCCAGTTGATCTGGCTGTAGAAATCTAAACAAGCATTACAAAGCAAAGATATGACAGTGTGGCCGGGTGTTCCATGCCTGCAGTCCCAGCCACTCGAGAGGTGGAGGTAGGAGGACTGCTAGCCCAAGGCCAGCTGAGTCACTGAGCAAATCCTACTTAAGGCGGAAGCAGGGGTGGTCAGGGTGTGGCCATCTACACGAACCCCTGTCCAGCCCCTGTCGCAAGGGAACCCTGCAGCTTTGTAATACAAAAACTATAAACGATCTACGTGTTCAGCATCAGTGTGGCGTGTATGATTAGAATGTGCGGTCATGGAATGGCCGTGATACAAGAAGCATATTGTGGGCTGTGGAGACAGCGCGACAGTCTAAGCACCTGCCTGGCAAGCGCCAAAACCTGGGTTCAGTCCCCGGTACCGTGTGCTGTGCCAGCCCCATGCCCAGCAGGCCACAGAAACTGGGCGTGGTGGCACACACCTGTTAATCCCAGTGCTGGGGAGGCTGAGACAGGAGGATCACTGCGAGTCCAAGCTGTATAGTGAGATCCTGTACCAAATAAATGTTTTTATTAAAAAATAAGAATGGGCTGGTGAGACGGCTTAGTGGTCTAAAGCACCTACTTAGAACAAGCTTAGCAAAGCACAGGGACCGCGGTTCAATCCCCCAGCACCACATGCCAGCCAGCCC